CTCGGCGAACGGGGATCATCGTGATCACCTGTGGGTCCCGAAGAATTATCGTCCTAACCTTTAACTGGACCACGGTCTTCGGACGCATTGTGCAATCTGCTGTATTGTGGTTCCAGCTACCTCTCTCCAAACCAAAAGGCTAACAGAGATAATCAAGTAAACACAAATACTTCTTGTCGCCTGTGGTATTACGGACAAACTAGAGACAATTATAAAGTGTGTGTATGTGTGTGAGAGAAATACCAAAATAGAATATTAAGGTTACATAGTCTGTAATTTATAGGACAATATATCATTATTTTGTTATTTCACAAACTCAAGTGTCTAAATTGTTTCTAAAGACGCCTGCCCAGTGCACAAACCCTATAAAAAGTCTCGTGATTCCTAACACTTGAAAATCACGAAACGTCTCAATATACTATTAAAATTAAACAATAAAAAAACGTAGCTGCAACATTAAGTGAAAAAATACTTTCAACATTAGATTTCCAGAAATTTTAATAGTCTCATTTTTGTAAATTTCTTTTTCTCGTTTCTTCCGTTCATAGAAACTATAATCCTTCAATTTATTATGTCACGACAAATCAGAATAAATAAACAAAGCAAATTGTTCGACGCAACAGGTGACAAATCGACGGTCAACAACACAACGACACAACCCGAATTCTGTGACGCACTCATTGACCCCGCAAATTTGCACAAATATCTAACCAATAGTTAAGTAATTTCTCATCTCATCGATAGTCTGGTTCCTGCTGAAAATGTTAACACCATTTCTATGTCGTTTTATACTTACCTGACGCACAAAATTCACAAAGGACGTATTTCGTCGAAACTACTGCCCCATCGACAAGCACTGCCGCTGCGGAGCCACTGAGACACGTGTCGCACTGTTCACTGGTCAATTTCTATTCTAAAACATTTCATTTGAAATGATATGTTTCTGCAATAACATAAACTGAAAAACGCTTTTTACTTAGGCGGTGATTGAATTACTATTCGACAAAAACTGAATTTACGGCAGTCAAATTTATGCCATTGGGGTCACAATCTAGGACAGGGCCAGTAACTGGGTCGTTTACCCTATGTCTAAGAAACGATTATTAGCCCAGTCGCTATGTACCGTAAAAATCACAGAAATTGCATTAATTAATAACAGCAATTCCTTTTCGCAAATCGTTGACGGGGGGGG